GGTCAGGAGTTCGAGGAAATCAGCCGACCAGCCTCGTGAACCTGTCTCTACTAAACAAGACCAAAAAAGTACGCCCGAGGCATTGGTTGGCGCACGCTGTGGTCCAGCTGCTCGGGAGGCTGGGCAGGTATTTGCCTGAAGCCGCAGGAGATGTTTCAGTGAGCCGAGATCGTGGGCCACTGCGCTCCGGCCTGGCACGACAGAGTGGACTCCATCTCAAAAACAAAACAAGACAAAGAAGTACATTTTTTTATTTATTTATGTGTTGTTTTTTATTATTTATTTTTAATTTTTTTACTTTTTGAGACGAGAGTTTTGCTCACGTCCCACCCGAGGCTGGAGTGCAATGGTGATCTCAGCTCGCTGCAACTTCGCCTCTTGGGTTACGCATTCCTTGGACACAGTCTGCTGAGTTACCTTGACTTACAAAGCGGCACCAACATGCCCTCGGCGCTATATTTTCTTCTTTGTATTCTCTTAGTAGAAGACAGGGTTTCGCCATGTTGGCAGGCTGGGTCTTGATTTCTTGACCTCAAGATGATCCCATTTGCCATGCTTCAGCCTCCCAACGGCGTGCTGGGATTACAGGCATTAGACCACCATGCCTGCCGGAAGCTCATTCTAATGCTCGCCAACCATCTTAAATTGTTCTTTTCCCATATCTGCCTTCTCGGGATGTGGTCAGGCTGATCTCGAACTCCTGACCTTGTGATCCACCCACCTCGGCCTCCCAGAGTGCTGGGATTACAGGCATGAGCCACCACACCCGGCCCAATAAATGTATTCTTAATAATAATAGTAGGCTCCCAGCTCGGTCAGCCCACTCCTCTCTTAGAGTATATGCTTACTTCCTTAATAAAACTTTTGCTTACCTAAGTAGTTACATAGTACAAAAGGCAAAGACAAGCACATCTTAAATACATATTAGATGTCAAGAAAGGAAAAATAATTGCCCTATCATGTTAAAATGGAGGAGCAGAGAATTGAAATAGAAACAGACATGAAGAGCCAATACTTTATTATGTTTCATATACTAACTCACAGAGACCTCTAGAAAATATGTGTTAAGTCTTAGACAACAACAATATACTCTCTATTAAGGCCAGCAGTGCGTGCCTATAATGCTGGAAGGGGAGACTCAGGCAGGAGGATCACTTGAGTTTGAGAACAGCATGGACAACATAGCAAGATCCTGTCTCTAAACAAACAGAAAATCCAAGAAAAATATATTCTCCCCACATAGTTTTAGGATAGACAACAGGGATTAAATTTTGTAAAAATTAAATCCTTTGTGTATCTATCTCAGTATCTTTCTCGCTATCTTTTAAAATAGTGAACAAAATTAAAATTAACTTTAAAATATAAACAATTTTACTGATTATCACTAAAATACTTACGATGGGCGATCCTCAAGAATCAGGGCAGTGGTAGAAAGTGGCTCAAATTCAAAATTCTTGCGTCTTGAAGACTGAGGTGGTGGTTTACAAGTTCTCCCCGTTCGTGCTTCATATTCCTAGAGTAAATTAAAACATACCTTATGCAGAAACTGCTCCAACATAGTTTGTATTATTAAATCTGTATCATTAAGAGTATTATGCTATAATGAGAGATACATACAATTCAAAAAATAATTTGGTAAATATATCAAACAGACAAAAAATAAAAAATTTTTTTGGGAGGTGGAGGGGAGTTGGGAGAGTGGCTCATGCCTGTAATTCCAACACTTGGGAGGCCAAGGTGGCAGGATTACTTGAGCTCACGAGTTCAAGACCAGCCTGGGCAAGGGACAACACTTCACCTCTACTAAAAACAAAACATAAAAAAAGTTTGTTTTTTTTTTTCCTGAAGCAACCTAAACTATAAATATATATTACATACAAAGTATCAAAATGTAAGAGAAGGAAAGACAGAAATACACTAGATTAATTAGGTAAAGTTTTAGGGAGACATTCTTGATTGCCTTCTATGATATCAGCTATCCAAGACCATCTTTGAATAATCTATAAGTAGATAAGCCTACTTACTAAACCTTCAGTTAGATCAGTGATTAAAACGAGACAAGTGATTAAAATGAGACAAGATATAGACAATGCCACTGTATTGTTCTGAAGATCCCTCTCAAGGGTGACATTCAACCTCTAATGAAATGATAGTTTTGGATTTCAATCTACTATTACAAATAGATCTACTTACTCTAAATTTATTTATTTATTTATTTTTTTTTTTTTTTTTTTTTTTTTTTTTTTTTTTTTTTTTGAGATGAAGTCTTGCTCTGTCACCCAGGCTGGAGTGCAGTGGCTGGATCTCAGCTCACCGCAAGCTCCGCCTCCCGGGTTTACGCCATTCTCCTGCCTCAGCCTCCCGAGTAGCTGGGACTACAGGCACCCGCCACCTCGCCCGGCTAGTTTTTTTGTATTTTTTAGTAGAGATGGGGTTTCACTGTGTTAGCCAGGACGGTCTTGATCTCCTGACCTTGTGATCTGCCCGTCTCGGCCTCCCAAAGTGCTGGGATTACAGGCTTGAGCCACCGCGCCTGGCCCACAAATAGATCTACTTACTCTAAATTTAAACAACACTTTGCTAACACATCTTATTCAAAAATGTAGCCACAGACTGTCAAATATTTCACTAAAGAAACTTTCTATAGTATTCTTCTAATTCATCCAACCTGATAATCCTAAATTAATTTAATATAATATATGGTAAACACATTTAAATGTCTCCATTCAAGTATTCTTCCACAAATGTTCCCAAACTTCTGAAATTTATTTATAGAAATTTGCCAAAGATCAATACCAAATTTACCAGCTTGCAAGTTTCAGTACCCACAATTTTTCCTTTCTAAAAAATCAAGCTAGCATCTGATCATCTCCAGGCACTAGTTATATTTTTCATTACATTCTCAAATATTACTGAATGATTTCATGAACTATGCAAGTCCACTGGTGGCAAGATAAGACCCTGATTTATATGAAGAAAATAAAATGCACTTAAAGTGGTCAGATATTTCACTTCTTAGTTGCTTAACTACAATTTCCTATAATTCTTTTAATACTATTGTTACATCCTTTCCAACTCAAAACCTATTTCTCCTTACTCAATCAGGCAATTGTAAAATGAGACCTGATAGTTCCATACCTCTTAAAAATTTGATAATCTTGTTTTTTCTTTTTTTTTTTTTTTTTTTGAGATGGAGTTTCACTCTTGTTGCCCAGGCTGGAGTGCAGTGGCATGATCTCGGCTCACCGCAACCTCCACCCCCCGGGTTCAAGTGACTCTCACACCTCAGCCTCCCGAGTAGCTGGGATTACAGGCATGTGCCACCAAGCCTGGCTAATTTTTTTTTTTTTTTTTTTTTTTTTTTAGTAGAGACAGGGTTTCTCCATGTTGGTTTCGAACTCCTGACCTTGTGATCCACCCACCTCAGCCTCCCAAAGTGCTAGGATTACAGGCATAAGCCACCACGCCCGGCCTTGATGATCTTTTTGAAGCTTAACCTTAATTGAGATATTACTTTCAAAAAACAACTTACGTTGTCTTACAAACTTCAGCTTACCTTGTGGTTTCAGCCACTGTTATAAAATTTCATATTCATCTTTAGTTCTGCATCTTCCCTTCCATCTACTATATCTATGCTCTGCTTATCTGAGAGTTCCCTTGCATCACCACATTGGGTTTTTAGAAGCTTCTCCTCCATCAAATTATTTAGGATTGTGTGCACTTATGTTTATTAACTGTCATCTCAAAGAACCATACAGCCATTCCTAATCAAAAGCAATAATGTCACTCATTTCTTTTTCTCTTTTCCAATTTTCTTTCCTAATATCTAGAATATATATCTAATCATGCTCAATGTTTCTTTTCTTCATTACAAACTCCAATGTAATAAATTCCTTTTCTGCTGTTTTTCTTACTAAAAATTATAGAAAAATAATAAATTTGTTATAATTTAAATGGTGTTTCATTTTTCTACAAGGTAACCCGGTTTCACTACCTAACAGAATACCATGAATATTATCCAATAAAACATTTTTCCATGCAAACAAAGGCTATGCACATAGACAGCAAAATCAAACTTTTAAACCAATATATTAATAACAACTAACATTGACTGACACTATGTAACCATGCACTGTCAGTCCCCTCCCAGTGAAGAAAAACTGAGGCACAAAGATGTATACTCACTTGCTGAAGGTCATTACTAGCAGGCAGTTTGGCTCCAGAGCCTGCCTTTTAACAATCTATTATCTTGCTATATTAACAGGCAGTAAAGTAGCTATGTATGACATTAAAATTTTTTTTTTTTTTTGGTAGAGATGGGATCTCCTTAGGTTGCCAAGGCTGTTCTTGAACTCCTGGGCTCAAGCAATCCTCCCGCCCTGTCTCCCAAAGTGTCAGGATTACGGGTATGGGCCACTGTGCCTGGCTGATGAAAATTTAAAAGAATGAGATTCATAAAAGCATTCAGTGAAAGGCTCATTGGGGTAGATCAGACTGACAATGCCTGAATCCCCAATCCACTTAAATATCACAAAAGGAGATCCCCAGACAGTATATTTCTTGTACGATACAATATAAAGTATACATTACCATTCTTGAAATACTCTTACCAAAAGAAAAATCAAAGTGCAATATAATTAAGCCAATAGAACTGTGTTCTCCAATATGGTGGCCAAAGTTAGTAATAACCAAATAAGCTAATACATATTTGAATATGCATAAAATTATTAAGGAAGTATTAAGAGGTTCTCCTCTGGACAGTGAGATTAGAAATGAAGGGCTTTTGGTTTACCTTATGAAACCAGTGTTGATTGGCTTTGTAAACAACAAAAAATAAAGTATATTTTACGAGAGATCACTCCTGGCCATGGTGGATGACTGATAAAGATGATCTTACTAAAGAGGTGGGATCAGAACTGGAGCAAAAATGATGGGTACTGATAGGCAGAAAGAATTAAAAGAACAGGTCAGTGGGCGCAAGCAAAGGCATGGATCAGGGAAACACATTAATCTCACTTAATAGGAAAAATGATGAGAAATAAGATTAGAAAGGGGTGGGTTAAATTACAGGGCCTTTCACTGGCTAAAATATTTGGACTTAATCATGAACAAAATGGAAAACCACTGAAAGTTTGGATAAAGCCAAGTTTGATGAAAGCTGTCTTTTATAGAAACCTGAACTAAGTATACATTGAATATATAAAAGCACTCAAAATGAAGCAGCTAGAATATAACTTATGTAATGTAAGAGAGGAATGAGGCTTTTTTTTTTTTTTTTTTTTTTTGTGTTGGAGATATACGGTCTCACTCTATTGCCCAGGCTGGAGTGCACCGGCACAATCTCCAGCTCTCTGCAACCGTCCACCTCCAGGGTTCAAGCCATTCTCCTGCCTCAGCCTCCCGAGTAGCTGAGATTCACAGGCATGTGCCACCATGCCTGGCTAATTTTTGTATTTTTTGCAGAGACAGGGTTTCACCATGTTGGCCAGGCTGGCCTCAAACTCCTAACCTCAGATGATCCACCCACCTCGGCCTCCCAAAGTGCTGGGACTACAGGTGTGAGCACCACGCCCGACCTAGGAATGAGTTTTGTACAGAATCATCACTCAAACATCATTCACATAAGAAGTTGTATTCTAGCACTTTCCACATAGATCCTTGTCATAAAAGTGCTGTAAAATTCTAGAGAGTAATAATAATAAGCTTTAAAACATTGTATGAGCTCATCTTTATCAGAAAATAGCACAGATTTCCATATCAAAATAACTTAAATATTTGCTGAATAAATTAAACATACCACCTTTTTTTTTTTTGAGACGGAGTCTCGCTCTGTCGCCCAGGCTGGAGTGCAGTGGCCGGATCTCAGCTCACTGCAAGCTCCACGCCCCGGGGTTCACACCATTCTCCTGCCTCAGCCTCCCGAGTAGCTGGGACTACAGGTGCCCGCCACCTCGCCCGGCTAGTTTTTTTTTCTTTTTTGTATTTTTTAGTAGAGAAGGGGTTTCACCATGTTAGCCAGGATGGTCTCTATCTCCTGACCTCATGATCCGCCCGTCTCGGCCTCCCAAAGTGCTGGGATTATAGGCTTGAGGCACCGCACCCGGCCAAACCTGCCATCTTAATGCAATCAGAATTACAAATTATATAGCAGTACTCCTGGATAAAAAAACAAAAAGTAAAAAAAAAAAAAATTACAAATTGTATTAGAAATAATACAGCTGGGCATGGGGGTTCACGCCTATAATCCCAGCACTTTGGGAGGCCGAGACGGGCAGATCACTTGAGCCTAGGAGTTCAAGACCAGCCTGGGCAACATGCTGAAATCCTGTCTCTACGAAAAATACAAAATTAGCCAAGTGTGGTGGCATGCGCCTCTAGTCCTCAGCTACTTGGGAGGCTGAGGTGGGAGATCACTTGAGCCAGGTTGTGGAGGCTGCAGTGGGTCAGAATCATTCCACTGCACTCCAGCCTGGGTGACAGAGTAAGACCTTCTCTCAAAACTAATAACAATTA